TTAGTTATGTAGAGATTTTACTTCTAAAGAGTTAATTTCAGGGCTGGGGATGTGGCTCAAGCGGTAGCGCGCTCGCCTAGTGTGCGTGCGGCCCGGGTTCGATCCTCAGCACCACATACCAACGAAGATGTTGTGTCCGCCGAGAACTAAGAAAAAATGAATAAATGTTAAAATTCTCTCTCTCTCTGTCCCCCTCTCTCTCTCACTCTCTCTTTAAAAAAAAAAAAAGAGTTAATTTCAATAATAGACTAAATTTTGTGCCCCCATTCATATGTTAAAAATCTACCCCACAATGTGATGCCATTTGGGTGTGAGGTGTTTGGGAGGTACCCAAATGGCATCATGAGGAACCCTCATCATGGAATTAGAAAAGACCAGAGAAAGGCAGAAGAAAGCTTGCTTTTCCTCTCTTTCTTCCCATCATGGGAGGATAAAAGAAGATAGTCATCTGCGAAACAGCAACAGAGCCACATGCTGGATCTGCTAGCCCTCAGTACAGCAAGAAATACATGTTTGGTTTTTAAGCACCAGGTCTAAGATATTCTGTTACAACAGTGGGAACTGGCTAAGGCAAATCCAGAACATACTCTTAAAAAATTCACAGAAGCCAGGTGCAGTGATACATGCCTTTAACTTGGGAGCTAGGCAAGAGGATTGCAAGTTGGAGGCTCAGCAACTAAGCAAGACCTTGTCTCAAAATAAAAAACGGCTGGTGATGTAGCTCAGTTAAAGCTCCCCTGGATTTTAATCCTCACTGCAAAAAATTAAAATAAATAAAATTATACATTTTATTGCAGAGGTTGAAGTGTTCTGAAATATACTTCTAAATATTTGGGCTTCCTAATAGAAACTCCAGTTTAATGACTTTTTCACCTCAGATACAAATTTCAGAAGAAAAACTCTTTTATATATCTGGGAAATACCTTACTTGACTTTTGAAACTGTCAGTGAGCTTCTGTAGTATGTTCCAAGAGGAGATAGATGATAATCCTAAAAACTGCACTCTAATGTCCTGCTCTTAACCCCAACAACAGAAAATTGGCACAATATCTGAAGCAGGGAGAGGAAGAGGCCAGTTGAGGTTTTGTTCTAATTAGATGTAGCAGGACAATGGAGATTCAGGGTCAAAATAAAATTGAATGACAGAAAACAAAGTACTATTTCTTGTACTCATGATTTTGAGAACCGATACTCTTATTGTGCTTACTGGTCATTCATTTATTCAACCAGTATTTTGGACCTACTATGTACATAAAACTATAGGAGAGAGATACATGTACAACATATCTCATTTAGCACAGTGAACCCATGGTAATAATGAACTATTATGATAGAAGGCCTTGCTCTAGTGACTGGCTGAACCTGGTAAGAATGAGCGACTCTGAAGCAAATTATATTCTTGATAAGTTGAGAAGACAGTCAGGAGTCACTTCTTTGAAGTGAAGACATTAATGCTTTTCTTTCCTATGTTTCTCTAAAACATGTTCCTTCATAGGCTTTCTCCGCTTATTCCAGCAGGAAATCATCTCTCCGTTTTTGGAGCTGCTATGGTACATTATCTATACTTTTGCTATGGCACTTATTTTAACTAGCTTTTGTTAAAGTGTCTGGTCTTTCTTTCAATACTCCTATGAAGAGGGCTGTTTCAAAGCATTTTCACGATACCATGTATATAGTAAGTGCATTTTAAATGTTATGTATATGGTAGACAAGTTACTACCAAATGTTCCCCAAAATATAGACTTCTTGCATCAGTACCATGGGCGATTATTAAAATGCAGAGTCCCGGATCAACTCCAGTTCTAATGAATTGGAATCTCTAGGTATGCAACTGGGAACCTACATTTTAGTGAACTCACAAGAATATGAATTTCAGGATATTACATTTATAATAAAGTGTGGGAATGCAAATAGGTTTCAGCTACAATGCTGACTCTGGTAGTGGATCCACTGAATGTATTCTGAGTCTGAAACAAGATTCCATGGGAAATGTGGCTTCAAAGGCCCACCAAGGACGAGCCAAGGGAATGGGGAGGGGCCAGTTTATGTGCAGCACATATGGCACCTCGGAATATTACTCTTGGGAATGGGGAAAGTGTTCCACATCTGTCTAAGAATAATCACAAGTCATCTTTGCAGAGGTTTTTGAGTCTTCAAGATTTTTCTATAATTTTCATGGAAATTTCAGGAAATGGAATTTTCAGGGTGGCATACAAGAATTTCTTTTTTTTTTTTTTTAAAGAGAGAGTGAGAGAGGAGAGAGAGAGATAGAGAGAAAGAATTTTTAATATTTATTTTTTAGTTCTCGGCGGACACAACATCTTTGTTGGTATGTGGTGCTGAGGATCGAACCCGGGCCACATGCATGCCAGGCGAGCGCGCTACCGCTTGAGCCACGTCCCCAGCCCAAGAATTTCAAAGAAAAATATTAACTGGGGGAAAATTCCACTCACTAAATGTTTAATTTTACTTAATGATATTAAACAGTAGTTAAGTGACATGGGGAGCCTAATTAACTGTGAATATCATTTTTGCTTTAGCTACTCAGATTATCTTTGTAGAATTCTTGTGTAGGTCTTTTTTGCTTTTGTTGTTGCAGCTGTCCCTTCTTTTTATTATTATACATGTGCTTTATAATTATTGAAGAAACTTAGAAAATATAGACAAGAAAAAAAAACATTTAAAACAGCATTACCTCAGGATAACATCTGCTAAATGTTTCCATGCACATACATAGTCGGTTTCTATATAACACTGAGTGACACCCAGAGAAAGCTACACAACTACTTAATTGTATAACTCTGAACCAATGGCACACATATCTGAATGTCAACCTTTTCATTAATTAAGTAAGGATAACAACCACCATTCTGCCCCAGTCAGACCTTTTTTTAATGCTTATTTTCACATTTGTTCTCAGTAATCCATAGATTGCTAAGGCTTTGATTTCATAAGTTATGTTTTCCCCTTCAAAAATCTACTATAACTGTTATTTTAGACACTTTTTATTTTTTAGACACAACTGGAAGGACAGCTGAGAATAATAATAATCCACCTGTTATAACTAAACTGGGTAACCCCCCAAATCATAGGTTGAAGTCCTAACTCTAATGTAACTCCGTGTTTGGAAATGCGTCTTTAAGGGGGTCATTGTGATAAAAATGAGATCATGAGGGTAGGGATCTAATCTAATAGAAATGGTACACGCTTATAAGAGAAAGAGACCAATACTGTGTATATGAGCACACACAGAAAAAGAATCATGTGAAGATCCAATGAGAACGTAGCCATATACCATTTAATAAGGCTGAGCATGGTGTCTGTAATTCCAGGGACTCAAGACAGCTGAGGTAGGAGGATCACAAGTCTGAGACCAACCTCAGCAATTTAGTAAGAACTTGTTTCAAAATAAAAAGGAATGGGAATACAGTTCAGTGGCAAAGCACCCCGAGTTCAATCCCCAGCCCTCTCCCCCCCTCCCGAAATGAATGTCAATGAGAAGGCATGGGGCTGTAGCTCCGTGGTAGAGCACTTGCATAGTATGCATAAGGCCCTGGGTTTGATCTCCTCAGTGAAATGAACAAGTGTGCGCACACCCAAAAGTCAACCAGACAGGACTCGGGAGAAACCAACCCTAGCAGCACCTTGATTTTGTACTTCTAGTCTCCAGAACTGTGAGAAGTAAATTTCTGAAGTTTAAGCCACTCAGCTCTAGCTGACAAAAACACCATTGTTTATGAACATTTTTTTACTATTTCATATTTCGTTTTTTGTGTATAATTATAATCATCAATCCTCACAATCCTAGAAAGCAGGTGTTAATACAATTCTCACAAACAAGGAAGTTGAGGTTCGGAGAAGTTAATGGATTGCTCATACCCATAAAACAGTGCTGTTGCATATATTAAGAAAACTTCTGCCAATTTGTCTATTAACGTCATTATACTGTGCTGATATCCTATGAAAATTAAATGAGCCAGCAAGTACAGAGAACTTGTATCTTGCCTGTCCATGTGTTAAATATTATCTATTGTAATCAAGCAACACATTTGCATTGGTTGGTCCCTTTTGCTTGCATATTCCTATAGTCTCTTGACATCTTAATTAAACCCTTCTTTCAAGACTCAACTTGGGGTTGAGGCTGTAGCTCAGTGGTAAAGTGCTTGCCTCGCATGTGTGAGGCACTGGGTTCGACCCTCAGCACCACGTAAAAATAAATAGATACTGTGTGTTCATCTACAACTAAATAAATATTTAAAAAGAAAAGACTCAACTCACGTCTCCTAGTGCTTACCTTGTCCCTCCCCCCATCTCATTTATCTCCACCGGTTCTCTTCAATGTCCTCGATATTGTTAGTTAACTGTTGTTTGTAGCACTAGATTTGACAGGTCTTCGTCCTTYTGGCGCACTTTCTGAATGACTTCACGGAGAGCGCCATTAAGTARTGAGATCCGTAAATTATTGTTCTTAACTTTGACCTGTCTTGTGTATAGTGACCTGCCCCGAGATAGGAAAGAACCGTCCTCAAAGTTCTTCCCGATGTGGCCTTATGATCTTTCCCCCCTTCTTTTTGGTACTGGGGAWCAAACAGCGCCTKGATCATGCTACGCAAATGCTCTGTCACCGAGCTACACCCTCAGTCCGCCTTATGATCTTAGGCAGCTACCATGAATCTCAAAGAAAATGGGGCAATTCTCTTCCTGTCCCACTCCACGCAAAACCCAAATGAAACCTCCTCGTCTGGAAAAGTAGGAACACACAAACTTCTCTAACTCGCGGACTGCAGTAGGTGCGTGACTGCTACGCGCCTGCGCCTGCCCCTTTCGGAGAGCGTGCGGCTCCTCAGTCGAGGGTGGGGCCATACTTCGCGTTTTAGGATTGGGCGATGGAGGCCTAAACGGAAATGACGTTAAGAGCGCAAGCGCCCGCGGCCGGGCCGCGCGGTGGCTTCTGGGTGCCGCAGCCTTTCCTTTCCGCGCCTCTCCCCTCCCCCTTCCCGTCCCCGCCCCCTCGGCCGCTCCGCTCCTTGGCGTGACTCGGCACTGAGATCCCCGGGAGGAGACTCCGCTGTCGTCAGCTCCACTGTCCAGGCCTCAGCCTTCCTAAGCCTCTCTCCTTCCTCTCCCGGGTTGTCTTCTCATTCAGTTTTGAAGCCGGAGGCGTCTCGGCTGCCCTGCCAAGCTCTCTGTGAGGATGGTGGGAGTGAAGCCGGTYGGGAGCGACCCTGATTTCCAGCCGGAGCTGAGCGGCGCGGGCTCCAGACTCGCCGTGGTCAAGTTCACCATGAGAGGGTGAGGCCGGGTGGGAGCACCGTGGGCCCGCGTCTATCGACCTGTGCTTTCCTTTCACTCTTTCCGGGCCCAAGTTTCCTTGTCCTTTCCTCTGGAGGGTCCGATGATGGCCGCAGCCCCAGGCCGCTGTCAGGATTAGGCCTCAGCCCTCGGATAGGAGCCTCTGTTTATGCACCGGGGCCTTCCAGGCCTGCCCGGAGCCCTGGCTGGCTATCTCCCTCAGCTCCGGAGATCCCTGCCCTGAGCAGAGACCTCAGTAGAGTTCGGCCCGCGACACCTTCCAGCCTTAGGTATTTGCTCCTGTCCAGGGGAGCAAGCTGTCATTTGCATCTTAGCAACTCTCTAGAAGTTTAATTTTCCAAACACTTTCATTTCCTCCATCACCTGCATCTTTGTGAAGCCTTTGGCAGATTCAGATGGGGCTCTCCAACTGATCTTACTAATGCGTGGTTTTAAGGCTCCGGTAGTGCATTTTACATTAAGTTAATGTTGGATTAAGATGCTTTTTAATGTCCTTATCGTTTTGTTCCTTGTTTGGTTGTGCCTTAGGCTCCTCTGACTACGTTGGATTTATAATTGCATACATAAATTATTGTTCAAAACATATATATTACAGATAGACGAGTGACCAGACATCTAGTTTGATCAAATTCCGTTTTGGGAATTTATAATTTGGRATGACAAGGATCTTGAAAGATGTTAACTGTCTTTGGTAGATCTCAACAAAATGTATAGGTAACAGAGCTGATGAATCTGTTATTTTGGGTGTATGATAATGTTGTACTGTGAAAATGACAGGTTGTAACTAGGCATTGAGAACCAAGATTCAGCTAGTGTTCATATTTACTGATAGATTCCCGCCCTCCCCACACACCATGAATGTCAGTACTTAGAGGGTTTAGAGGTTTCCCCTTGACCTCTGGCATTATTTATACATATGTTAGCCTGGAGAAATCTACTCTTGATATCAGTTTATGTAACGTGTTTTCTCAACCAAGTAATTTTATGAATATAAAGCAGTATTTTGAATGTCAAAAATGTTCAACTGTTGAATATATAAATGGTGGCATTAGGATTAGACAGTTTTAGGGGAATGAGCGTTGCATATAGATTTTTTAAAAAAAGTTAGCTCTTCCTATTAGCAGCCTGAGATGATCTGTGAAAATGGTTTGTTATTCTCTTGACCCAGAAAACTCCACAAAATCATGCGAATCAAGAGGTTCAAATCTTCACATTCATTTTAAGGACACCCGGGAAACTGTGAAGGCCATCACAGTCTATGCATAGCCAAAAAGCCAGCAAACATCTGAAAGATATCACTTTAAAGAACCAATGTGTGCTATTCCAAAGTTACAGTGATGGAGTTGGGATGTGTGCCTAGGCCAAATATAAGGGCTGAACATAGGGTCCAGTGGCCCAAAAAGAGTGCTGAATTTTTGCTGCACATGTTTAWAAATGTGGAGTAATGGCTGAACTTAAGGGTTTAGATGTAGATTCTCTGGTCATTGAAAATATCCAGGTGAGCAAAGCACCCAGGATGTATTGCTGTACTTAGAGAGTTCATGGTCCAATTAACCCATACATGAGTTCCCTCTGTCGCATTGAGATGATCCTCATTGAAAAGGAACAAATTGTTCCTAAACTAGAAGAGGAGGTTGCACAGAAGAAAAAGATACCCCAAAAGAAAATGAAGAAACAAAAACAATTGGCACAGCAGCATAAAATAAATGCAAATAAAAGTGAAATAACAGCAACAAACGAGTTAGGACATATTTTTGGACCAGCCTCACACAGAGTTAAAAAAGGGTAGCAGGTTGGATTTATTAGGGTGGTATATATTACTCATATGATATGTGAACTTTCATTTTATTAAATTGAAGAAGTTAGATGATTCATGATGGTTAGATGATTTCTAAGACATGTCTAAAAGAAATATCTAAATTCTATAAATGTGTCTTCTCAGCTTTAACAATTTTGTAATTCCTTTGTCTTATAATAAGGGAATACCTGTACATTTTTAAAGTGTAGAGGCCATGGTAGAAAAAAGAAGAGAAGATTTCATCAAGGAGTCTTACTTTTCTAATTCTGGTTAGTTGGAATTTTTATACTTTTGTCCTAAGTGATATTTTCCCCCTTACCATAGCAGAGGAAGAGGTGAGAAAGTAATAAATACTTATTAATTGGAGTGAGAAAAGTGGAGAAACATATCTATTAAGGAAACTTCCATTACCAGAATTGCATTATGTAAGCATAATTATAAAACATTGGTTGTTCAAAAGCTGTTATATTAAAAACAGTATTTTAGTGGAAGGAAAATTATTATAAGCAGTGCTATTTTTGTTATAGTTTGTGGATATGTATGTATGATATTTATCCTGTATGATGTTTATCTTGAAATGGTGGATGTATCACTTTTGTAGACAATGTTTCAATTTTCTTAAAGCAGGCTTTACTTTGTAGTTAGGTATCATTGTCACTGTGGAAGAAGGATGTAATGGTCATGTAGTTTGTCCAAATGAGAGAGAGAGAGAGAGAGAGAGAGAGAGAGAGAGAGAGAAGACAGACAGACACATACATATGTATAAGTTACATATAATATAAAATACTGCATATTTTCAAATTGCTGAGAACTGAAGGTAGTTAACTAAAAGAAAATATTAGCAGGCTTGACAGTTTGTAGGAACCAGGCCCATAATGTTAGTGAGTGAAGTAGGTAAGTTCTAAGACTAATCTTTAAGGACATATTGAGGCCTTTAAGTAAACTTTTTAATTGAAGGTTTATTTTTTTCTGAAAAATTTAATTAAAATATATATAAAAATGTGTACCACTTATTAAAGTGTACAGTTTGATGACATTTCAAGTGATCACACCGATCTAACCAACAGTTAGATGAAATATAGATAATTATCAGCAAGTCAAAATCCCTACACCCCTGAATTTTAACACTTTATATTAGTTTTGCTGCATTTAAACTTTATAAGAAATGAAAAATACAGTATTGTAGTTTGGCTTCCTTTTAGTAGCATATAAATAGTTTGATCTTAGCAATTGATTTATAAGTAACAATGAAAGCCATCCTGTACTTTGCTGTTTTGGAGTTTTGGGAATAATGGTTAACAGTTAGGATCTGGGATCAAATTCTGGCTCAGTATTTCAATGGTCTTGAGAGTTGAAAAGCTTAAATTAAGTGATAGCAGTTTAGGAATCCTGTGAGTTTTGTAATATAGTTAAGTGCCCAATGAATGTTACCTATTTTATGTAATTAATAGCAACCCTTAGTTTTGGTACATTTATAAATTGCTTATTTTGAAGTTATATGCTCCAGAGAAATAATACTTTTTTTTTTTTTTTTTTTTGGTACTGGAGATTGAACCCAGGAGTGCTTAACTACTGAGCCATATCCCCAGCCCTTTTTTATATTTTATTTAGAGATAGTGAGTTACATAAGCCCTCGATAAATTGTTGAGACTGCCTTTGAACTTGCAATCCTCCTGCCTCAGCCTCCTGAGTCTCTGGTTGCTGCTGGGATTATAGGCCTGTGCCACCACACCCAGGACCAAAAATAATACTTTTAAATATGACTTTAGAAAGCACATAAGTTTCCTTTATCCATTTCCATCTGTATGTTTATACAAGCTGTGTTGCTAAAGATAGAGCATGGGCTATTGTAACAAATAGGGAAGAATAGTTAACAAGTTCATAAAATAGAATTATAGTTGTAAAGAAAAGCTTTATTAATAAGAACTTAATATAGTGCTTTCAAAGAAGGCTGATGTTGGATTGGATTTAGGAATTGACTGCTCTGATTGTGTCCCTGCCACTAACTAGGGTGTTGGATCCTTGGTAAGATATTTAACTTTTTCTGGTCTTCAGTTCTAAGATTGTAAGTTCTTATAAGTTACACTAGTTTTAAAAATTTTTGTTTTTTGAGTTTGTTCTTTGTATATTGTAGAAGGCTAGAAGTTCATTTTCTGTATTCTCCCCTCTAAAAGCATAATTTAAAATTAAAATCCTTCTTACATATCCATTTTATATATCAGCCTAAACGTAAGCTTTTTTTTTTTTTTTTTTTTCCCATTTGTAAATCTCTGGCTTAGGTGATTGATCTCTGGACCCTTTTGCAACAAGATCAAAACTCCTAACCCATGAGCAGGGCTGCTAATCAAGGTTGTTAAGAGAGCAATTTAATTTTGAAATTCAAACTTACTGGTATACAATAGTTTAGAACTAGGAAATGTTTTTGGAAAATCAAATCTTTATTTTATACTTGTTCCTGAACTCAGCTATAATGGAAATTTATTTCTTTTTTTCCTTTTTTTTTTTTTTTTTGGCAGCGGGGAAGGTTGGGGCTAGGAATTGAATCTGAGCCTTGCTCATGCTGAACACATGCTCTACTACAGAAATTTGCTCCTCAACCCTGAAATTTGTTTACTCTTGAATGCTCATGTTAGAGAAGGCAAACATCTTATTTAGAATCAATTTATTTGAATGACTGTCATGAAAACATGCTGCCATATACAGTATACCTTTGTACATATTTGTGCTTCTCTGTTTTGTTACTTATTTTGAATTTTGACTGAAGTTGTAACCCAAGATGGCTAAGTAAAATTAAACAAAATATTTAAATCAGGTTAATTCTTGAAATAATTATTTGAATGGTAACATTTTAGTACAGTCAGTTCAGCTACAGGATGTTTCTTCAACAACGGTTAGCTCATTGATGATTGATCAATAGTTGAGAGGTGATATGTATATAATGTGGAAATTGTGTTGGTTTTCTGTATGATTTTTTTTCCTAAATAGTGAAGAGCAGAAATAAAAATAAAACCTTTGGTTAAAAGAAGAAAAGCCCTCAGCCATACAGGCAGTTTCCCATTCAGCTTTAACTTGAGAAAGTTAATAAAATTAAATATGAGCACCTATACTGAGCACTTGTTCTCCAGAAGGGTTGCATTTCCTCCTGTTGCTCTCAGTGGCAGCTCCACTGATTCAGAGCCCTATTTCCACCTGTACTATCACAATACCTGTAAGTATCATTTCCACTTGACTGTTTTGTTCATTTAAAATATCCTCTGAGGTAGCCTACCTGCTGGGATGTCCACCTATTTCCTGAGTCCAAGTTATTACTGTTTTTCTTGGTGATCTAGTTACATAGTTTCAAGTGCTTTGCCTCAAGTTTCTATTTTTCATAAATCCTCATATTTTGAGTGCATGGTTTTGCAGTATGGCAGTTTTCAGAAATGGATATATTGTGTCAGCATGAATATGTGTTTAAATTCAGATAATGTTAAATTCTCTGTTTTCAWCTCATTTTTAAAAAATAAACATGCCATTTTATCATTAAAAAGAAGGAAACAGAATTATGGATATTTGAAAAAAATTCATATTTAAATTCTCTTTTCCAGTTCCACATTGCAGAAGTAATTAGTGTTAACTATTTGTTATGTCTTGCCTAATTTTTTCTACGTATTTACATATATAGTTTGCATTTTCATACATACATAGTATCAAAATATGATCATAGAGATAGTTTTGATTGACTGTACATGTGTTTCTGAGCCTGAGGATTCTTAGATCCAAATATTCTTTTTTTCAGAAACAATAAATTTAGTGCTTAAGAACTGCATAGTTATTTTCTTAGCTTTTTAATGTGAGGCTTTATGATGACACAGGACAAAAATGCTGAATATGTTAAGAATGGGGTTGATCGTGACTTGAGTTAGTATTTGTTTTCATTTTGTGCTGTAGAATTTGCTTTTTCTAACATCCCTGTCTGCTAAAACCAAGGTTTTTCTCATGTTTATTGAGTTATAATGTGCACAGTGCCCAATTATAAAGGTATAATTCAGTGAATTTTTACAAACTGAACACACGAGTGTAATCACCTCCCAGACAAACAAAACATTACTAGCTTCCAGAAATCTCCCTCCTGTCACTAAATCTCACAATGGTAACCATTGTCCTGATTTATAAATCATTGAATTATTTTGCCTATTTTGAAGTGTGTGTAAATGGGATCCATAAGAGTATATACTGTGTAGTTTTTATTTTTGTGAAATTTCTTCTTTCTCTTGAGATTTTACATCAGTTATTTTCATTGTTGCATAGTATTGTATTGTATAAATGACTATAATTTACTCATTCTAATATTGATAAGAATGTGAGTAGATTTCTTGTTATTTACTGCTAAGAATATTACTATCATTAATTTTTTTCTCATGTGCCTTAAGGTTAATATTTTTGTTGGTGATATACTCTGGGAATGGTCATTGGTAGGTAGGTATATGTCTAGCTTAGGAAATAATGCCAATTCCTGTTTTTTTTTTTTTTAACCCCAAAAGATGCTTATTCTAATTTGCACTGTCACAAACAGTATATGAAAGTTCAGTTGCTCCACATTCTTAAAAACAGTTCATTCTTTCTTGTTTTACTTATTTTGGTGGAGGTGGTTTTAACTTGCATTTCCCTACTAACTCCTGAAGTCTAATACCTTTTTTATTTTTATTGACTGTTTGGATAATTTCATTTGGCAAATTACTGCTCAAGAAGTTACAGTTTTTTTCTGGATGCCATTATTGTTCTTTTTTATGTATTAGAGTTCTTTACATATTAGATATGTTTTATGAGTATTTTTTCTCAATCTGAATTGCCCTCTCACTTTTATTTATTTATTTATTTTAATATTTAATTGATTTTATTTTTTAAATACATAACAGTGGAATGCATTACAATTCTTATTACATGTATAGAGCACATTTCTTTATATCACTGTTTGCATATAAAGTATGTTCACACCAATTCATGTCTTCATACATGTACTTTGGATAATGATGTCTGTCACATTCCACCATCATTGCTAACCCCCTTCCCCCTCCCTTCTCGTCTTGCCCTTCTGGCCTTCTCACTTTTTTAAAGGTGTCTTTTAATGAATGAAAGTTCTTAACCTTAGTATTTTCATGTACAGGAGCATGGTGGTGCACACCTGTAATCCCCATGGCAGCTCAGGAGGCTGAGGCAGGAAAATTTCAAGTTTGAGGCCAGCTTCAACCTCAGCAACATACAAGATCCTAAGCAATTTAGCGAAGCCCTATTAAAATAAAAAATAAAAAGAATTTGGAGGTGTGATTAAGTGCCCCTGGGTTCAATCCCTGGTATCAAAAAATATATATGTTTATATTTTTTAAATATATTTAATCAAATTTATCAAATATATTCTAATACTTCCCATCTGGAATTGGTTTTTGCATATGATGTGAGGTAAGGAGTTCAGATTCATTCCCCCTCCCCCATCTGAATAGCCAGTTGATCAGCACTACTTATTGAAAACACCATCCTTTCCTCACTGTACGACTGAGTCAACTTTTCATCAATCAGATGTAGGAGGGATCTGTTTCTGGACCTCATTCTTACTTTGATGAGTTTATTTATCATTGTACGGGTTGGGGTTGACTACCCTCTGTTTAAAATACATGGGTTTCAAATTTYAGGACTTTGGAATATTTGCATAGATTTTACCATTTATTTTTTTATTTTATTTTATTTTTTTTWAATATTTATTGTTTAGTTCTCGGCGGACACAACATCTTTGTTGGTATGTGGTGCTGAGGATCGAACCCGGGCCAAGCGCATGCCAGACGAGCGCGCTACCGCTTGAGCCACATCCCCAGCCCCCAGATTTTACCATTTATCACTAATCTGAAAATCTAAAATCTACAATGCTTCAAACTATAAAACTTTATTATTATTATTACTTTTTGCAATGTCGAGAATCGAACCCAGGGTTCTTTGTATGCCATGCAAACACTTCAACATTGAGGCATATCCCCATCCCAAAATATGAAAATTAAAGATTCTCAGCCTGTATGCTAAGTTATAGGCTCAGTACTGTGTACTCTTATTTATTTATTTATTTATTTATTTATTTTTTAGTTCTCTGTAGACACACATCTTTGTTTGTACGTGGTGCTGAGGATCGAACCCGGGCCGCACGCATGCCAGGCGAGCGTGCTACCACTTGAGCCACATCCCCAGCCCCAGTACTGTGTACTCTTAATTAAAAAGTTTTATAGTAGTTCTTAATATGTGGTAATGCAACTTCTTCAATTTTGAATCTCCAAATGGCTCAGTTTGTCTTTGGTATTTCAAATAAATTTTGGAATTTAAATTTGGTAATTTCTACAAGAAAACTTCTGGAATTTTACATTAATTCTAAAAATCAAGAAAAGGAAAACTAACATCTTGGAAAATACCGAATTTTCCAGTTCATGAACTTAGTATATCCCTCCATTTATTTAGGTTTTTGTTTAATTTCTTTCCATGCAGTTGGAAGACCTAGCAATATTAAACCTGAGAACTAATAAAATATTTGTATTAAGACAGTGTGGTATTGGTACAAGTATATGTAAATAGCCCAGTGGAAAAAACTAATGTGTCCAAAGCCAGGAATATATATTAGTTTGTTTTTATTTTATGTTTCAATTGCCAAGTACTTTTAAGATATAAATTAGTACAATCTTTGGTGTTATTTTACTAAATGTCTGTTTTTTCTTTTCCACAGATGTGGACCATGTTTGAGGATTGCCCCAGCTTTCAGTTCTATGAGTAATAAATATCCACAGGCTGTTTTCTTGGAAGTAGATGTACATCAGTGTCAGGTAAGGGAGAGGAGTCCTTGTTTTCTTTTACTTTTCAATAAATTTGAAATCCAATGTGAATATCTTTGGTTTATCTCTTTATGCATGTAGTACTTTGTCCTTTAGCAGGTAGGAAATGAATTTTGTCATTCTGGCTACATTAGATATGAAAGGTAGCACATTATTGTATTTGTATTGAATTTGTATTTTTTTCCAGATGTAAAATTAATATGATATGGTTACAGTAACAGATTAGGCCAATATTCCTGATGAACTTAGATGCAAAAATATTTTTAAAAAATTAGCAAATTGTGTTCAACAACATATTTAGAAGATTGCATATTGGTTTTATTCCAGAGATGCAAGATGTTTTAATATATGCACATCAATAAATGTAATTCATCACATTAACAGAATTAATTAAGAATCACTAAGTAATCTCAATTGATACAGAGAAGGCCTTCAACAAAATTCAGCACCCATTCATGATAAAAACTCTAGAGAAACTAAGGATAGAAAGAAACTACCTCGACATCATAAGACTATATATGGAAAACCCAAAGCCAACCTTATAGTAAATGGGGAAAAACTAAAAGCATTTTCTTTAAAATCTGGGAAAAGACAAGATTGTCTACTCAGACTACTCCTATTTAATATGTTGCTAGAAATTCTAGCCAGAGCTATTAGGAAAAATAAGGAAATAAAAGGATAAAAATAGGAACGGAAAAATTCAAATTATCACTCTTTGTAGATGATATGATCCTATTCCCAGAAGATCCAAAAAAAATCTCTACCAAAAAGACTGCTAGAGCTAATAAACAAATGTGATAAAGTAGCTGGTTACAAAATCAACATTAAAAAACCAATAGCTTAGGGTTGTGGCTCAGAGGTAGAACACTGGCCTAGCATGGGTGAGGCACTGGGTTCGACAAGATATTTTAAAAAAAGAAAAAAAAAAACACAATAGCTTGGGCTGGGATTGTGGCTCAGTGGCGGAGCATTTGCCTGGAAAGTATGAGACCTGGGTTTGATCCTCAGCGCCAAATAAAGATAAATAAATAACATAAAGGTATTGTGTCCATCTACAACTTAAAACACACACACACACATACACACAAATATCAACAGTGAATCTGCTGAGAAAGAAATTAGGAAAGCAATTTCATTTATAGTAGCCTCAAAAATAAAATAAAATAAAATCCTAGGAATCAGTCTAACCAAGGAGATGAAAGACCCTCTACAATAAAAACTGAAGAACATTGGAGAAAGAAATTGAAGAAGACCTCAGAAGATCCCATGTTCATGGATAGGCAGAATTTATATTGTTCAAATGACTGTACTACCAAAAGCAATATATAGATTCAGTGCAGTCCTGATCAAAATACCAATGACATTCTTCACAGAACTAGAAAAAAGAGTCTTAAAATTCATTTAGAAGAATAATAGCCATATGAATTAAGAATAGCCAAAGCAATTTTAAGCCAAAAAAGCAATGCTGGATGCCTCATAATACCATCTTCAAATTATACTACAGAGCTACAGTAACAAAAACTATAAGATACTGGTGTTAAAACAGTTACACGGACCAGTGGTACAGAATAGATGACACAGAAACAAACTCACACAGGTATAGTCAACTGATCCTTGATGAAGGTGGCAAAAACATACATTGGAGAAAGACAGCCTTTTTAACAAATGGTATTGGTACAACTGGTATTCCATATGTAGGAAGAATGAAACTAGACCTTATTTCTGACCCTGTACAAAAATCAACTCAAAATGGATTAAGAACTCAATTAGATCAGAAACTATGCAACTTCGAGAAGAAAATGTAGGGTCAAAACTCTAGCTTTTAGGCACAGCTAACAACTTTCTCAGTAGGATTCCTGAAGCTCAGGAAATAATGCTGATAATGAATGAGACAGCATCAAATTAAAAAGTGTCTGCACAGCAAAGGAAACAATTAACAATGTAAAGAAAGAACCCATGGAACAGGAGAAAATCTTTGTTAGCTACTTTTCTGATAGAGAATTAATATYTAGAAAACATAATGAGCTCAAAAAACTTTACACCAAAAAAATCAAAGAATCCAATTAATACGTGGTCAAAGGAACTAAACAGATACTTCTCAAAGGAAAAAATGCAAGTGGCCAAAAAAATGTATGAAAAATTGTCCAACATCATTAGTAATTAAGAAAATGCAAATCAAAGTACACTGAGAATGTATCTCACTCCAGTCAGAATGGCAGTCATTAAGAATACAAATAATTATAATAAATGCTGGAGAGGATGTGGAGAAAAAGGAACACTTCTACACTGTTGGTGGGACTAAATTAGTACAACCACAATAGAAATCTGTATGGAGGCTCCTCAAAAGAGTAGGCATGGAATTACCTTATCACCCAGCTATACCACTTCTGAGTATTTATCCTGAATAATTAAAGTCATCTTACTTGCACTAATCCCTGCATCCCATGTTTATAGCAGTATATTTCACAATTGCCAAACTATAGAATCAGCTTAGGTATCCATCAGTGGATGAATGGATAAAGAAAACATGGTATATATGCACAATGGAGTTTTAGTCTTCCATAAAGAAAAATAAAATTATGGTATTTGTAGGAAAATGGATGTAATTAGTGACCATCATGTGAAGTGAAATCAGTTAAACTCAGTTTAAGGGTCATGTTTTCTCTCATATGCCAAAGCTAGACAGGAGAAAGGAAAACAAAGATGGGAGTGGATTTCCTAAAAATCAAAGGGATATCAATAAAGGAACCAATATGTGAGAGATGTGGGGAGGGAGGGGGGAAAGTGCTAGGGAGTGATATTGGCGAAATTATATTGTTATGTTGTGTGCATGTACACATATATAACAACAGATCTCACCAATAAGTACAACTATAATGTACCAATTAAAAAAAGGGTAACAGATCACCTGGCAGTTCCATGTTTTACATTTTTAAAAAAATCTTTTCAATATCTAGATTTATTTATTCTACTAAGGCACTGATTGACTATAAAGTCATAACAGGGAATTCTTGTATTTGATTTGAATTGATCAGTTAGTAATCCTATCTCTGAAACTATATATTCAGCAGAAATTTTAAAATACTGATTACTCTTGATTGATACACAGTGTTGTAGGTAGATAAATTGCCCTGATGACTTAGTTGAAATGGCTGTATGACAGTTCTGTATTTGCATATTTAGAAATATGTAGAACTCTTAAGGAAAAAAAGAATTTTGGAAGGTTCTTCCATATACTAATTATAGAATTTTTAGTTCTAAGGAACGACTTTGCAGCACTTCATTTTTTTTTTTTTTTGAGACTTTGTATTTGCTACATTTCTGAGTATGGAAAATTTTTAGAATATCATATAGTTAGAAGTTTGGGGATTTGGCGTAAGTCCTGCATTACACATCTGTGTTTTTGTACTTAAGTCATATTTTATTGGACTGTATCACTTCACTAGCCCTTATTTTAAATATAGTATTCACTATCTCTAATCTGAAAGTGCTTTCTTTTGGAACTCTGCTGTCTTGTGTGGTAATCACTAGTACATGCGATTTTTGAGTGCTTGAAATGTGGCAAATTTGATTTTACCTGTTTCTTCTTACTTTTTTATTGTGGATGCTAGAAAATTCAAAATTATATGCATAACTCATAGGTCATGATTTATATTTATTTTGGATAGCACTGTTCTAATACGTTAGTAATTGTTTTTTTCACTTACATGGCTAAGAAGATATCCCTAGGCTCTCTTTGTAGGTTTTTTCCTTTAAACAATATAGTGGTACCTTTTCATAGTATTTGAACATACAAAGTAATACATTTGCTTTACTACTTTTTTTTTTTTTTTTTTTTTTTTTTGTGGTGCTGGGGATTAAACCCAGGGCCTCTCACATGCTAGACAAGTGCTCTAGCACTGAGCTATACCCCCAGTCCCCAACTATTTTCTAATACTTATCCACAAAAAGTTTGAATCATATTTCTTACTGGTTATTAATGGCTAATTTATTTGTGGTATAAAATTGAGTTAGGGCAGAATTTTAAAAGATAACTTGCACATTTGTGGATGACTGGAATTCTCTGTTTCTATAAAAGTAGAAATTGGGTGAGGGTTGCAATACAAAAGATATTGCCTCCTTTTCATGGGTAGATAGGCAACATTTTTCAGATATGTACTTTTCTTAGTAGCATTGGTTTGTGTTAACTTAGCAATACCCTTTGTGGTTGCTCATTCTGAGAAATACATACTGTGTAATTATGAGTTAACTGTCGGGTATAAAGCACAATTTCTGTATTGCAAGCTAATTATTCTACTGGATGAAGTATTTTTACAGTAAAACTTAAAAAAATAGTGTTGTTCTTTTTTGTGGGTAAAGGTAACATTGCTATGCCTCAGTAGGAACTCTCTTAGAAATAGGTCTGCTTCTTTTTAACAATTAGGAATATGTTGTCTTACATATTTTTTTAGTTAAAGCTTGTGATATTTAACTTTCATAAAGGTATAGAATGAATATTCAAAATGGTTAAGATTAATTTTAATTTATAACAGTGTCTAATTTGCCAATTCTAGGGAACTGCTGCCACAAACAATATATCAGCAACACCTACGTTTTTGTTTTTTCGAAACAAAGTGAGAATTGATCAATATCAAGGAGCAGATGCTGTTGGATTAGAAGAAAAAATCAAGCAACACTTAGAAAATGACCCTGGAAGCAATGAGGACACAGATATTCCAAAAGGCTATGTATGTAGATAGAAAAATGAAATAATAATATCATTATTTGGTTGAAATGAAATGAAATTGACTATGTGTTCATATTTTTTCTCTTACTAATTCAGAATATTTTCATGTAAGAACTTTAAAACTGAAGTTGACTATTGAGTGTTGGCTGTATGTCTGTGTTATAACCTTAAGACTACATCATAAACTACTTTTTCCTAAATTTCTCCAGCTAAATTTCTTTCCCACTTGTTTTATCTGTTCCCTGAACTGTTTAAATAGCCACATTCTAATACTTGTTTTATACTTTATCCCCACAAAAGTGAAGAAATATATATTGGAAAGTATTCCACTTTTTTATAATTATGTAAAATGATTTGTGAATTTTAACATGTGACTATTACCTTCTGAACTCCCTTTGCCACCACTTCTTATAGTTTTCTCTATCTTTTTAAATGTATTATTACCTCTTTTCTGGCATTCATTTTTTTTTCTTTAGTTTTTGGTTTAATTTTGTCTTAGAATCAAATGTGACTGTAGTATCATGTTTTCCTAAGTTTTAAGAGCAAATTAAGAGCTGGGGTTGTAGCTCAGTAGTAGAGCACTTTCCTAGCATGTGTGAGGCACCTGGATTTGATCCTCAGCACCACATAAAAATAAATTCAAGTATTAAGTCCATCTAAAACTAAAAAAAATGTTTTTTAAATAATAGAGTAAGTTAAAACTTTTTTTTACATAATAACGAATAGTCTTTGAAAACTAGTCTAAATAACTGTAATGCAGTATTTTTATAGTTTGAGAGCTATTCAGAAAGGAAGTAAAATTCAGAAGTATTTCAAGGTAGCAGATTTGTTTATACAAATTTGTAAATTCTGCATACTAATATGTTTTATTAATTTCATAATTTTTTTGTATACGTTTTTCACAGTATTGCTGTATTGGTAGACCAAACAATGAATTTTTAAAAATGTTACCTTAAGTTAAAACTAATGTATTTTAAAATGTGTATCAGATAAATTAAAGCAGATCTACATGATAGAGTTATCTGTAAGTCCTTTCAAAAATCTTTTAGTTCATGCTGAGTAAGGAGAAAGTGTAGTCAGGTAAATAGGAGAGATTCTTTGTGTGTGTTTAAGGAGTGTCAAACAGTGTCTGTAATGTGTGATACTGGCATTAATGATTTTAAGTTCGGGAAGTACAGTTAGTGTTTATTTAAAATAGAACTGTAATTTGAAGTTGTAACATCCAATTAGAAAGTATGAACATGTTGTTGAAGTCAGGGCTGATAATTACTGAGCTGGGCCCATTTTGCCTGTCATGTAGCATGCCAATCACTGAGATGACAAGTTTTGTAAAAGAGAAAGTTTATTCACAAGGGAGCCAAGTGTGGAGATGGAGTGTAAGTCTCAAATCTGCCAGTCAGAGATAGGATTTAGGGATATTTATGGGGATGTGACTTGTTGGTAAAGCACCCCTGGGTTTAGTTCTCAGTACTACCCCCTACCAGAGAGAGAGAGAAAGAGAGAGAGAAAAGCAAACAAGCAAGCAGGGTGGTCTAAGACCTGAGAAAAAGTGTAGGTAACTTTGTGGCTTTCCAAAGTGTGTATGTTTGGAAAGTAGAGAAGTTAATGTGATCTCAGGACAGAGAAAGAAATCACCTGTTGGACAGCTGCACCGGACCAAGTGAAGGTGCAGTGGTTTAAATTGGTCCAAGCTAGATAAAAGCTGCCTCCAAGTTCCTGAAAAACAACCTAGGCAACTGTTACTATCCTGATCCACGTTACAGAGGTTTTATCTCTAGCAAAGTTAAATAGTCTAACAATATATTTTGATTTCATCATCAGCACCTCTCAGTTTTTATTTTAGTCCTTGTACCTCATGTCCTTTATCTAAGATTATCTTGGCCTGAGACTTTTAGTTTTATACAGCTTGGGATCATCCCTAGGGCAGAATTTGTGATATCTCAGAGCCCATGTTCTGTAAAATATCTTACATAACAGTTAGAAAGGAGCAAATTAGAATCAGAAGTAAAATGTATAAAGGATTGGTTAGTGTAAATGAGATTAGGTCAGCTGTCTTTGTTAGCTGGCAGTTTTAAGTTAGAAGAGAGGTCTTAATTCTTTTGATGCTTTCATTTTGGGGATTGTGTTTCAGGTAATTCTGCAAGAGGTACATGTTTACATTTGTAAGCCCTTTTTAGTAAATGCTTAACAGAAGGTTGTAGCCTGTTGAACTTGGTTTCAGTGACACTGTTTAAAAATTTTTGGAAATCACTTAACTTGTAAACTGTTGTGTTTGTATTTTTGTATTATTATTTTTTCCTTTATTGCTCAGTGTGTTTGCATGAAAAAAGTCTTAAGAATATGACAGTCCTGCTATTTAGCTACAGTGATACTTGTTTACAAACATCAACCAAGTGTGATATCAGTGTTTTGGTCTCAGGTAGGATCTAAGGTAGGGGGTGGTGGAATGAGTTTTAAGGAATAAAAATTTAGTTTTCATGCAAATATTGTATACAAAATGTGCAAAGCTATTAAAATGTATGCATATTTTTTCTATCAGGTATCACTCAGGACATTAAAGTTTTGAACTATTTAGGTCCTATACGTTTATTAAATATTTAAAGCTAGTAATATGTTCCTAGGAATATTCTTACCATACAAATAGACAATTAATAGGGATAAGAGTCACTGAATGAAAACCTGTATCTTAAGTAGTTTTTTAATAAAAATGTGGGTTTCTTGGAATAAAGAGTTTTAATCATTATGCTCKAAGACTCAGAAGCTTTGCAGTTATTGGTTTTATACATTCTATTGTGAAACTTTTCAAAAAACATTTATTTAAGTATTTATTACATGTGGTGTTTAATTATTTATTATATGTGGTATTGGGGATTAAACCTAGAACTTTGTACATGCTAGGCCAGTGCATTAACAACTGAGCTACCTCCCCAGCTATTTTGAAACTCTTAATTTTATAGGCGCCAGAGTTAAAAGGATAAGAGGAATTTCTTTAAAAACTGACTGAACAAATATAATTCACTATAATTTTTAAGAGAAATTACATGTATCTCTTTTGGGGTATGGAGATATTGCAAAGATATAAGTATGATACCCAGAAGCTAAAAATCTTAGTAAATTCTTAATCAGATATAAGAAAATGTTTTTCTGAAAAAGACTTTTATTTCTTAAAATTGGTTTTTAAAGTTTGGAAAAATTTAAAGCATTGTATCTTGTTTCTCTTGCATTTGCTAAAAGAGTAGGTAGTAGACAGTAGAGCTTCAGATAATCCCCTTCATGCTCTCTGCTAGGTCTTCCTCTCTTCAGAAGTTTGAATGCTAGGCACTTTTGAATGGAGCTTGTGCTGCCTTGTGTTCTGAATCTTTAGATATATTAGTGTATTTCAGTACTGTGGAACTTTTGATTACTTAACTTGTTCAGGGATTTTGGCGTACAAATTTGTCATAGTCGTCAAAATGAAATCAAATTTATGTAACCCTAATTTATGTAGTAAGTAGATAAACCTTTGTTGAGCCAAAAATATAGAAAGGTTCATATGACTTTCCTGTGTGTCCTATGTTGGATTTTTCTCTCTCCCCTATAAAGACTGAAACTTCTTTTAAAAAATTTAGAGTAGTACAATAGATTACATATACACCCTTYACCTGTGTTTGTCAGTTGTAAATATTTTGCTGTTTTTGTTTTACCTCACTGCCCACTTTCAGTTTTTGCAGAATTCTGTATAAGTTAAGTTATAGACAGCTTGATGGTTCATCTCTTAATATTTTAACATGTAGCTACTTAGGACAAGCACATTTTCCTGTATAAATAATCATGGTACCATAATTACTTCTAATACATTTAATATTGATCCAACATCTCTAATTTCTTACATTCAAATTTCCTTAATAATCCCCAAAATGTCCTTTTTCCCAATCTAGGATCAAATTAAAGATCATGAATTGCATTTGTTATTTCTCTGGTGTTCTTCAGTCTAGAAACCTTTCCCTATCGTTTTTTCCTTTCATGACTATATTTTAAAATTCTAAATTAACATCATTCTAATAATATGGAAACTACTAGGCACATGAGTAGAGCTAACATTCATTTATGTAACTGAGTAAATGAATTTTTAATTTTATCTAATTTTAAATTGTTACATGTGGCTAGTGTCCATCATATTTGGCAGTTCCAAGCTAGACTATTCCACAATCTGAATTTAACTGATTTTCTTATGTGTCCTCATTATTGGCAAGTTGATCATATAGTTAGATATTTCTTTTTTATTGTATATTTTTAGAGTATCATTTTGCAGTTATGTCATAAGTGCTAGTATAATAATATCTTGTCACAGGTAATATTGTATAAGAAAACACTTCAGTGCAGGTGTTTACTTTTTTTTTTTTTTTTTTTGTTCTGCGGATCAAACCCAGTGCCCCATGTATGCTAAGCATAGCACTGTACTATTGAGCCACATCCTGAGCCCTAAAGCAAGTATTTACATGTGGTATTTTTGTGTGTGTGCCCCACAGTAAATCAAAATAAAAGTTATATTAAATGATTTACTCATTTAGTTAATGTTCACCATTAAGATATTAAAAGTATGATTGCAAGGTTGTCTTCATATGTAGGGTTTTAATCTTAGTGGTATGTAGGTAGATAAGGACAGTATTTAAAAGATTTTGCCAGGACTACCCTTTCAAGACAAATGTTCATAAAGTTCAGAATAATTTTACTACGGTAAAACTTTGCTCTGTAGCCTTCCTTTTCTTCTTACCATCTTTTTGAATTGGCTATGTTAGCCTGAGTAAAACATTTAATATAACATTTTGACCTTGAAAGCATTTAGGGTATTTGATGAATAAATAGGGGTTTATACAAGTGAATTACTATCATTTTGAGTTTTATTTAATCTATGAAAAATATTTTTTTCAGTTTTTCAAAACTATATAGTGTATGTATATGTATAAATACACATTTATATGTATGTAGTCTTTCAAATACATATTCATACACACTCAGGCTCACAATATGAAGAAAGTCCTTTGTGATGGAAAGCTGAACAAGTGATTGATAATCTATACTACTTGGTAAACTTTAAAAGTAGTTCTTGTGGTAAGTGAAATGGATACATATCTAAAAAGGCATAGTTTACCAAAACCAGCTCCACTATTTAACAGAACACCTAAATAGACCAATTAGCATAGAGAAATAAAGGAAACAGTAAAATAGCTCTTCTATAAAGGCCCATATAACTTCACAAATGAATCCAAATCTTTAAAAATCAGGTAATCTGATGTTACAACTGTTTTTTAAGATGGTAAAGAGAAAACTTTCAAATTTCTTCTTGAAGTAAATATAATAACCCTGAATCTAGTAAAGTATATGCCAAAAAGAAAAGCCACAGATCAGCTTCAGTGATGAGTATTGTAAAAATTTTAAATGTTGGTAAACAAAAATCAAACTTTTAATCTATTAGTAGAATTTTAAAATAAAATGAACAAAATTGGGTTTATTTCAAGCATTCAACTCTTTGGTATTGTGGTGGAAATCTGAAAGTGTTGGTCAACATAATATCCATGAGACAGGAATATGGTGACTGACACCACAGGAACCAGGCAGCAGAATTCATTGTAGTAAGAGATCTACAGGCTTAATGACTATAGATTAAAGGATTTAAGAGACATTAACCAAAGATCATGTTTATACTTTTTGGAATCTATATCCTGAGTTTAAAACTTCAATTCTAGAATATTTTATAAACAGCCCAGGAAATTATAAAACTGATACTTAATACTAAAGTATTATTACGGGTTTAGAGGCGGTAATAATATTAAGGTGTGTATGTTTTTAAATAGTACTTATCTCTTAGAAATACTTATCTCTTCAGAAATACTGAAATGTTCATGAATGAAATGAAAAGATTTCTAGGATTTGCTTCAAAATAATTGGGAGGCCATGTAAGTTGTCGGGGCGGGGTAGGGGTGAAACAAGTTGCCATGAGTTGGTGATTTTTATAGCTGGAAATGATAGATATGTGAAGTTCATTATATTCTATTTCTATACATTGAAAATTTTCTATAATAAAAATATTATTAAGTCCCTATTTGTTACTTATTCTAAAGTTAACTTTTTATAGGTGTAGATTTAAAGAGTCCAGGGTTTAATAGGAAAATAGACTTTCTTTGGATCTCACAGTTATTTTAATTTGTATAATCTCTACTGTAAAGCAGTTATTTAAAAAGTGTAAGTCAATTATTTTACAATTCTAGTGTTAAAGACTTAGTTTCTGAGATCTTACTTAGTAGAAAACCCAGATTTGGCTTTAATAATTAATGGTAGCTCTCAATCAGAAATTCAAATAAAAAGACCATTATAAAAGCTTTAGTAACTATTTACAACAAATGTTTTCTTTAAGATTGCTTAGTCTAGAAAGAATCAGAGATTTAAAATTTTAACATATCTCTACCAAATGCAAATACGTTTTAAGTCTTGATTTTAATTTTTTTCAGATGGATTTAATGCCTTTTATTAACAAGGCTGGTTGTGAATGTCTCAATGAAAGCGATGAACATGGTTTTGACAACTGTTTACGAAAAGACATGACCTTCTTGGAATCTGACTGTGATGAACAGGTAATTGCTTGACTGAAGGTATAGGGATTATCACTGTTTATCCCTACTATTTATTTCTTTATCATGTTCCCATCTCATGGTTCATATCTCTCTCTCTCTCTCTCTCTCTCTCTCTCTCTCTCTCTCTCTCTCTCTCTTTCTCTCCAGATGATCAGTTCTTCCTTTCCTTTTTATAGCTTTTAGTTTCTTTGACTCTGATCCTTTGACCATCCAGATGCACTTTTTTCTTCTGTATAAGCTGCCAGACTTATTAAGAAAAATTGGAGAACTCTTGGATTGCTCCCACTGTTCGTTGGGACATCACCACTCTTTCGTCCTTTTTTTAATCCTTCATTTCCCTTCTATACATTTTTCCCACCCAGATGAGTTTGTGTCTGAGGAATAGAGATTAATTAGATGAACACTCCCTATGTGGCTAGCTCCTCATTTCCACATATAAACCTGTACTGGTTTTTTTCTTTGCTTCCCTGCAACAACCTGGTCCAGAAGAAGTAGGACACAACAACTTTCATTGGGCCATTTTTTAACTTCACCTGGGTATTATTTTCTTTACTTTCTATTCCATTGTCTCTGATTTGTCCTCATTCTAGTTCATCTTGTATATGCTCACAAAAGTTATTTTTTTGAAGTACAGATCTGCATATTTCTCTGTGTTTAAAGTATTACATGATTGTTCACTGGCTTCAAGAAGATATCTTGCTGGTTTAATGTGTTTCTGGCTTTTTGGTCTCTTATCCTTCTTTCATTTGTAGCTCAGTTCTCTAAACATGTAATGCTTTCTATTTTTTGATATATTATTATGAATAAAATTTAAAAAGTGTTGGTATAACCAAAGGAATTGGCCTAGTCATTTTCTTAGACCACAAAATGATTCTGAAATTATAAATCCAAATCTTAAATATAAACCTTTCGTTAACAAGGGACACCTTATTATAGCTTTGAGAGTGTCATTCATATTTTGTTCCTTGTGAATGGTACAATAACATGATATATATTAGCAGGACTGCCTACAGCCTCCCTGAAATCTTTCTTACAGGTTAGAAACATAGGTACTTATGTCCAAAACAATTATGGCTGGAAAGAGTGTTGAATGAATGACTCACACGTTCTGAGACATAGGCATCCTGGCAGTGTTTTGTACCCTAGTTCTCTTATGTGGCCCTCCAGATTTAGTTAAATAACTTTAAGATGGAGGTTTCAAGGTATGCTGTTGAGCTATAGAAGTTTTGTTCTGGGGAATGGACTCAGGGTCTCATGCATGCCAAGTACATGCCCTAGTCCTTGAGCCCTATTCTTTCTTTTGAGTTTGGGGTAGGAGTCCATATAAGGGCTAGTTTCTCTGTGTAATCTATTCATTGCCTCTAAATTATCATCCCATAAAAGCTGTATATTACATATTAACATGTGTAGTTTAAATTTTATTTTAATTTGGGGGTGGATTTTGTTTGATTTGTTGGGAAGTAAATTGCCTGCCAGTTTTTAGTTTACAAGATCATAGGTTCTAATGCATAATTTTAGTAAATTTACGTCATTAATTTTTTTTCACCATTCACTTACATAAATAATTTATGGTGGTATTTCTCAAATGTCAATCTAATCAAGTTTCTTTCAACTTACTGATTTTCCATATTGCAGAGGTTTTGTTAGATGAACTTGGTGTTTTCTGTGTCTGTTATTTTTATTCTGCTTAGGTATTTTGTGTATTCAAGGTGTTCAAGAGCCCTTTTATAATGAAACTATTTTCCCCACAGCTACTTATTACTGTGGCATTCAATCAACCTGTTAAACTTTATTCCATGAAATTTCAAGGGCCAGATAATGGTGAGTAAAGGACAGCTTTTCTTCAAATTAACCTGCTTTCCTAGACTTGTTAGCACATATTTAAAACTTTTTATTACATTGAGATAGATATTCCTTGTCTTGGGAAAGAGTGGAATTGTTTTTGGAAGAATAGAAATGAATAGACAAAAAATGTGGAATTATTAGGGATTGGAATTATAAATAAATAGAACTTTTATTTCTAAACTTTTATTTTAAAATTTGTTTCCTGTTAGTGTACAAACTACTGAACCCTTCTTCCCAACTTTATATTCTTAGCAGCTGTTTTTTAGAGTCAAAACTAGATGAGATTGATTTTAAACTCTTCCTGAAATTTGGCTTCAGATCTTCCTATTTGTGCCCTGTCAGTAGTGTCTGTGTACGTTGACGTAGTTGTATAGACTTGCTGTTTCACTTTTGTAAAATAAAGCATTTTCCTTGCCCACTCTTTCCTTTTTTTTTCTATTACTGATTTTTTTTTTTTTTTGAGTTGGGGAGGGGAAAACCTAGGGAAATGGGGATCTAAGGTTGGTTGGTTGATTTGTTTACTTGATTGGGAGAAATAGCCAAGGCCCCCATTTATTAGGTAGCATTTCCTTATCATGTATTATTCTAAATTTTCAAATGTTAATAATTTGTCATTTGTAAAATTATACTTTTATTATGAATATTTATATAAGTATATATTGTAGAAATGTATCTTAATATTCCTTAGTTGGTCACAAAATATGGACCTTAAGTTGTACCCTGAAGTTAAAAAGGTTAAGACCCACTTGTGATCTTACTATGAGCATATTCCAAATCTAGTCCTTAAGGTGGAATTTGACAGTTTTTATGATTCATTCCCTTTTGGCTAAATGGTGTCACTTGATAATACTTTACTCCTAAATGACAAAATGTATCACTTGTTGGTAACTCAAGACCTACCTCAAATGCTGTTTCTTTTATGAAGATTTGTTAACCTGCATATACTGTCAGAATCCATTGCTACCTTCCTTATACCTCCTCATTAGTGCTATTACTTTTATCATAGCATGTCTTTTGTAGTTAAGGACACTGATTTGTATGTGTACACATATATGCACATTCATGTGTGTATTTTAATCTTATATCCCTAATATTTACTGTAGTAGTGCTAGCTGTGCCAAAAAGGTACCAGTAAATATGTATTAGGGAGGGAGGGATTRTCAAAATACTCAGACTTATATAACTCGTGATGGTGGAGTTCTAATAAATGTATATGTGGGTATGTGCATAGATGCATGTGCCCGTTTGTGTGTGTGTGTGTCTATGTATATTGTGAGTATACTGATAAAAGAAAGTATAGTATGTTCATAGTTTTTAGCATTTCACTTTATTCTACCATTTTATAGGTCAGGGTCCTAAATATGTAAAAATTTTTATCAACCTACCCCGATCTATGGATTTTGAAGAGGCAGAAAGAAGTGAACCAACTCAAGCTCTGGAACTGACAGAGGATGATATCAAAGAAGATGGCATTGTTCCACTTCGTTATGTTAAGTTTCAGAATGTTAACAGTGTAACTGTAAGTAGTATTTCATTGAGATATATTTAATGGGTTTGTGGTAACAATGCTAGATGATTTAAATGATCCTTTAAAGTAGTGTTTGTCCAGCAATTTGAAATGAGTAAAAATGGGTTAATAAAGTTTCTTCTTTTTAATGTAACTATGTAACCTAAAGAGGAAGGACAGGTTGAGTTTTAAATATTTGTGGGTTTGTTAGTTTAGTTATGTGTGCACATATATATCAACTTCTGTTAAAAAGTTTATTCTACAACATTTATACTTAAATTTGTGCTTTATCTTTCTTAACCTGGTAATGAGTTATAATATAATTCTAGAATCCTATTTACTTTTCTAGAATACAGAATTTTAATAGTGTGGTGGTCATGGTATCAGTAAAAATAACTTTTTTGGGTTTTTTTGAGTGGGGGTACTGGGAATTGAACACAGGATACTTTACCACTGAGCCATATCCTTTATATTTTTAATTTTGAGACACAGTCTTGCTAAGCTGTCCAGGCTGACCTCAAACTTGCAATCAATCCTCCTGCCTCAACCTCTCAAGTTGCTGGAATTACAGGTGTGCACCACTCTCTGTCTAAAAATATCGTTTTGAAAACATTATCTTACATTTTATAAAATGACCTAAGGTATAGCTGAATATTATATAGTACCCGAGATAATTTTAAGTGATATATTCTAAATGTTGATTTTAAAGAACATGCATGCCTGTTACAAAAGTTCAGATGCTTTTTAGCAGTTGTTAATTGCTTTTGAGAATTTATTATTAAAACCCACCACATTCTCTTTCACCAGTCCCTCCCCATCTTTCAGAGGAGAGGAGGTTAGAAAAGAAAGCAGAAGGATAGTAGAAAAAGAAAGAAACCAGCACAAGGTCATTGAGAACTAGGCATACCATTTATGATAAATTTCTGACAAATTTATTAGTCTGGTATGCCTAGATTTAATGGATTAATTCTGTTCTGGTTCATTGGAAGAATGCTTATAGTTTTTTGCTTTTCTGTATCTTCTACTTTGTGGGAACACTTGTTCCTTCCCTCTGTGAGATGCAATAACAAGGTGTCAACTTGGAGGTATAGACTAGGTCCTCACTAGACACCAAAGCTGTTAGTATCTTGATTTTGGATTTTCCTGCCTCTGTAACTGTGAGCATTAAGCATGTGTTCTTTATAAATTACCCAGTGTTTTGTTATAGCAGCAAGAAATGACTAGACAATCCCCCTCTTCATCCTTTTCTCAAATTTCATTGGCTCACTTGCCGATACTTAAACCAAACTCTGCAAAAGTTAGACTGTAGTGGCATAGTAGCACAGGCCTGTAATCCTGGCAACTCTGGAGGCTGAGGCAGAAGGATGGCAAGTAYAAGATCTTTAACAATTTAGCAAGACACTGTCTCAAAATTAAAAGGACTAGCACCTTGGGTTCACTTTTTAAGAAGAATGCTCTAGTATGATTTTTTTTTT